TCTGTGTGTGTGTGTGTGTGTGTGTGTGTGTGTGTGTGTGTGTGTGTGTGTGTGTGTGAGTCCTCTCCCTGCAGTGCCTTCACCTTTGTCATTTGCAATCCAATGACATGTGTTCAAACTTCAAAGAAAGTTCAAAGAAAGTCCTAACTTCCCGTGAGACTTGAGTCGCTTGACAACTTGAAGTTGCTGGACAGCTATGTGATGAATCCTTGGGGGCAATCAGATTGTGCCACGTGGCACGTTGAAAGTGGAGCCAAATGAACCCTGCAGAGGCTGCTGCAGTCCAGTGAGTGAAAGTTGTGTTAGGTGGTGGTGTCCAATGAGTCAAACTTGTGAGAATGGAAAGGTCTGGTGAGGTTCTGACAAGTTGCTGGGCATCTGCCGGAAAGTGTGATGAAAGTTATCAGATGCAAAATATTCGAACATGAAGGTGGACAGAAGATTCCAAGGAAGGTTGCAAAAATGGTTCTCAAAAAAGAATCTCAACTAAATGATGGTTGTTTTTCCACGTGTTTGTTGGATCGTTATGTCCGAACTCAGGAAAAGGATGTGTCCGTTCAGCGGATTCGCTCTAGGTCTCCTTGGGGACAGATGGCGCCCTCGCCGAACATGGCCTCTCGAGAGGACCCAGGCTTGGCATTTCAACGATCGTCAAGAATCAGTTGAGGCTGTTCACTTGATGATGAACCAGCATGAAAGGGAATGTTCGGCTATTCAGCTCTACTTGCAGGGCGCAAACTTGCACAACAGGGACGTCTTTTCTAAATCAGATCCAATGGTGGTTATGGAGGTGTGCGAGATGGATTCGGACATTCTTGTCTGGTCGGAGATAGAACGGTCCGAGATCATCTGGGACGATCTTAATCCGAAATGGGCCAAAGTTTTCACCTTGATCTATCATTTCAGTCATGTGCAGTTGCTCCGTTTCACAATTTACGACATCGATACCCCATCTACCGACGGCAGCTACGAGGTTTCAAAACTGCGACTGGAAGATCAGGACTTTCTAGGGCAAACAGTCTGCTCACTGCCAGAACTCTTACACGCAGCTGGCCAAGTGGTCACTAAGGAACTTAAACCATTCGCAGAGAACGTCAGTGTTTATTATAGTGGTTGTAATAGTACTGGGCAAGGGCATCATGGCAGTCCGGGTGGGGCCAAGCTCGGTCTCGGGCACCACGAGTACTTGTCGTCGTTGTCGAGGACCGGAACTAGGAAGGGAGCAGGGCCCTTAGGGACACTGACCATCCATTATGAGGAGGTCACACCGCAAATCCATGGAAAAGTCAAACTGCAGTTCTGTGCTGAGGGGGTGGTCCCCCCCCAGGGCAGAGTGGGCCTATCTCCATTCCTACGTCTATGCAGCTCATTGGCTAGCCGCAACAGACTCTACCTGAGGGTGTCTAGGATTCTTGAAGGCGATGGCACTGCGCCAATTTTTCAAACGGAAGTAGTGGAGAAAGATGTAAGTACAGTTTGGAAAGAGATTACGGTGTCTCTCCAGGACCTCTGTGGATGCGATAAACAGCGTCCTTTGCGATTCGAGTGCTTTAGTTGTAATCCCTTTGGCCAGGATGTGTTGATAGGAAGCACGGATAAATCTGTGAATGCTCTGGAAGAGGCACTTGAGCATGGCAAGGGGATTGCATTAAGCTTCCCTAGGTCATCATCGAATAATAAGAGGAGAAAGAAAGCAGTTACAGCCAGGGTGAGTGGGAACACTGGAATGCTCTTCTGTATGCGATACGAGTTTCACTCTATGTCGTTCTTACAGTACCTGAGCAAGGGCCTCGAGATTAGCTTCCATGTGGCCGTAGATTTTACGGCATCCAATGGTCAGCCGCAAAGGCCTTGCTCTCTGCATTACTTAGACCCTCAGGGAAAGAAGAATTCTTATGAGCAGGCTATTAGTGCTGTTGGACGGGTCCTCGAGTTCTACGACACCGACAAAGTTTTCCAAGCCTGGGGCTTTGGAGCGAGGGTGGCATCAGGGATGGTCTCCCATTGCTTCAACCTGAATGGTAACCCATATAACCCAGATGTAACCGGGGTCGAAGGCATACTTGAGGCGTACTCCAAAGCCCTTAACTCTGTGTCACTTGCTGGTCCCACCCTGTTTGCGCCTGTAATCAGTACTTCTTCGCAGATTGCAGAAGCACAGCTGCGAGAGGGTCGGGTCAAGTACTCTGTCCTCCTCATAATCACAGATGGTATCATCAATGACATGGAGCCGACGATCAACGCCATTGTCGCAGCGTCAAGGCTTCCGCTTTCCATCTTGATTGTAGGAGTGGGTGCAGCCGATTTCTCCAAAATGGTGGAGTTGGATAGCGATGATGGCCCCCTCAAGTGCCACGATGGGCGACAAGCGGTGCGAGATATAGTGCAGTTTGTATCCATGCAGAAGATAACAAACAGTCATCAACTGGCATCTGAACTACTTGCCGAGCTTCCTAGCCAGGTAGTCCAGTTCATGTCCTCAGGACGCCTAAAAGTTGCGACCGCCGCCGCGTGCTCCGATTCGTCATGAATCTGGCCCCTGGGTCTGTCATCATTCCTTTTTGAATCCTTTGCTTCTCTACCATCTAGCCCTACAAGCCTAGTACAAGGGGCTTTTCTGGACTCAGCAGGCTGGATTGGTGGTTGTCGGATGGTAGCCCGATCTCATAAAGCGGGGTGAATCTCAGAGTCGCGTTGGAGACGTGAATACTGCTGAATAGTGAGGAACAGGCCTCTCTGGTGCAGCTATCATCTGAGCTATGTTCGTTCTAAGATTGCATGCCATTGGGCCTGAGCCGCCTGACCAATTTCGACGGCAGGCCCGGCAGGGTCATGTGTTCTCAGGAGTCTCAGCACGAACGTCGCACCGGTGACCGGCGGCACCCCACTTAGTGAGGCTTGGTCATAATCGAGTGGCCTCGTTGGTGCACTGCATTTATGATAGGCTCATCAATGACATATGGAAATTCGTAGCCAATTTGAAATCCTTTTTTTTCTTTTTTTTTCTTTTTTTAACATCCTACGGTCAAAAGAAACCGGAAATTCGTAGCCAATTTGAAATCTGATGTTCATCCATACTTGCGTACGCGGAGTAGACGTCCTCACATCTAGTCCGCGTATGTACTGTACAGCAACTCCGAGTTAGGGCCTGGCTCCTCAACTCACCAAATGTGCAAAATGAGCATGAATCTTCTGCTAGAACATGGGAGGATACACCGCCATCTCTTTTGTCTTCCGTGCATGTGCTGAGTAGTGCAGAGAGGGGCCTGTGTCTTCCGATACAATCACGAAAATTCGCTACCACTGCGAACCTTTGTCGAGCATGCATTAATAAACATTTCTGTCGTTTATCGCTGGGCATCGACCTAGCTACGATCTGCGTTCTGGTGTGATCGTGTGTGTGAAATTGTCAGTTGATTGCAAGCTATGCGGCACAGGCACGAACATAGATCCAGTTAGGGCGCGTATAGAAACCACAGTGAGTGGTACTGAGTACTTCGGCTGCGGACCAGCATGCTCCAGTTAGGGACTGTATATTGTGCAGTGCGTGGTACTGACTTGGCAGGCACTGAGAGTACTTCGGCAGCAGAAGTTGTGCTGGGGGAATTGCCACTTGACGGGCCCCTGTGGGCCTGGGCTTAGACAAATTGACATTCAGTCTTACTAGACTATTCTTGTCCAGTTCGGATATGTATAGTGCTTTAGTGTGCAGTGGGTAGGACACAATAGTTTGACTGGGGAGTCGCCAGTTGGCGGGCCACTGTGCCTCGGCATGCAGTCTATTCTGTTTCGGTTAGGTCGGGTAATACTGACTGAGTACTTTGCCTGGGGAATTGCCACTTGGCGGGCGGTCCCTTGTGGCTTTGACATTCAGTCTACTTTTTCCCAGTTAGGATGTGTATAGTGCTACAGTGGGTAGTACTCAGCAGTTTGACTGGGGAGTCGCCACTTGGCGGGCCCCTGTGCCTCGGCATGCAGTCTATTCTGTTCCCGTTAGGTCGGGTAATACTGACTGAGTACTTTGCCTGGGGAATTGCCACTTGGCGGGTCCCTTTGACTTTGGCATTCAGTCCATTCTTTTCCAGCAACTAAGGATGTGTGCGTAATATTGAGTAGTACTTTGGGACTTCGGCTGGTGAATTGCCACTTGGCCGGTGTCTCTGCCTTTTGCATCCGGGCTATTCTTTTCCAGTTAGGCCGTGCATAGTGCTATAGTGTGCAGTGCGTAGTACTGACTCTAATGACTCCGTACTAACGAGTACTTCGGAGGGGAATCGCCACTTGGCGGCCCCTTGTGGCTCGGCATTCTTTTTTTATGTACATGCGAGCAATGTTGTAACAACATCTCTTCCTACTAAGTTCCTAGTACCTGCCAGTGGGCAAATAAGTGGGCAGTTCTTTGGCAGTGAGGAGATCCGCCGTAGGGGCCAGATGCCTACGTGCATGCGTCCAAGTTCATTGAACCTCACTCATACTCTTGCCTTCACTTAATTTCACTATGGGGCTCCGATTCGTCACACCACTCGCCAAACGCCAACATTTGATGCTGTCTGAATTTTTTCGGGAATCACAACGTACTATGTAGACATGTACTAGACGTTTGGAGACTGGTGTGACGCCACAATTTAACGCCCTACGCTACCGTAGAATGTGACAACAGTGACATGTCATAACAAGCTTTACACCACATCACCTGGCACAGGCTGGCATGCTGGCAGACGTAAGTAAGTTAGTGCATTTTTTTTTTGGTTTCATAAGGCACATGGCCTCTGAGGCTCTGCCATGATGAGCCACATCACATAACACATTACTACATGACATGATTTCATTTAGCGCTTCTTCTACCGTTTGCTCTGTCTTGCTTTCGTTAGCAAATGGACTTCAAGTTGTCGCTCTAGGAGTGCATGCATCGTAACGTAGAAGGTGGCCAGATACTGACCCGCCTGGTCCACCGCTGTTCATAGCCAAGGACTCGCGGACGTATCTTTTCACCCTTGAAGTTCTATACAAAGGTGCACTCACCATTTTTACTCTGTTCTGAGAAGTGTGAACCTTACGTGTGCCCAGATATACCGGGCTGGTGTGTCAGTGGAGACGAGGCTCACTTGGCGTATCAGGCTGACTTGGCCCAGGGAAATTCCGCAAGCATGCCTGCGGCAATCATCACACTACCTTCTTCCCCCGAACATAGCGCACCCTGATAATAAACGTAGACAAGCTAACTTTCCAGTCCGATACAGTCAAAATGAGGGGAGCGTTGTGTTCGGGGGAAAACGGTAGCTCGTGCATTCCTGTACAAGCCTTGTGTTGTGCATATTATCACACTATTACACAAGGCTTACCTTAGGGCCTTAGCCATTTTGTCTTCAGGTGGCTGTGGCAGCTTTGCGATCTCGCAAGCCTTGGGTGGCTTCGCGAGGTAATTGCAATTTGCCAAGTCTTAGATTGAGTTGCCAGAGTAACAGAGTTCTTTTTCCAAGGGGAGAAGGGTGGGAGCCATTGTTTGTTATTGGCTAAGCACACGTGAGCCACGTGGGCCACGTGGCCACTGGCCGCAGTGGCCGGTGCCATCGTCTTCCAACTTCCAAGCCTCGAAGAGAGGTGACCGTCATGGAGTCATGGACATTCAATTTGATTGATATTATTGGCTAAACGCTAACTTGAATTTAAGCACATGTGTGTGGACTCGGGTGCATCTTCTTCAGAGAGAGGAGAGTCGAAACTTGTGCAGATGAAGTGCAGTGCTTCTCGAGGCGCATCTCAGCAATGTTATGAAGATCATGGAGGTTGAATTGTTGGAGTAGCAGACTAGCAGTTCGGGAATTTGTTTTACACTCCCTGCTTTGTTCATAAAAGACCACAAACTAAAGGTCACCTCAGACAGCAAGAGGTTAACAGTGTGGAGGTCGGCAGGGTTTAGTTGAGGCAACCCTGAGCTGTGTTTCCGTCGGACGAATGCCCGCCTCTGGTTGAACTTCCTGGTTAGCCATACTAAGATCAGTGTGTGTGTGTGTGTGTGTGTGTGTGTGTGTG